CCCATATACCAGTATGCAACTACAGATTCCTATAATGCATTTATATTTAAATAATAATCCCACTACCCCCCCGCCCCCCACCCGACCCCCAGTGACCATAGTCCAGCCATCGAAACTACGTTAGATGCATTTTCTCTTTCTCGTATCGACGAATTAGAAATGCTGATAGATTAGAATTCTTGTGATGTCGCCAGGTTCGAAGGGTTTTTGAAAATAATAATAATAATAATAATGAGGGTTGGTACGTAATCCTAGTGCCAAGTAACCGACGTATTATCAGGTCTATCGACGCACGTTAATAGATGTTAGGATGCAAAGAGAGGCTCCAACCGTATCCAAAAAGAAAGTAAGATCCTATAGATTAAACGAAGAGATAATGAGAAATTTAGGGAGGAAATTTGATTTGCGAACCGGCCCGAGTAAGGATCGATTAACGATATCCTGTATACGATGCGTGAAGGTCCTTTTTGGCTTTTTCGATATACACGTGTATAGATATATATACATACCTAACTGGTCCCGTATTCCTACGCCACTCCAAACGCGCGTCACGGCTGTCCGACTTTCCATACTGTAGACAATATTTATGAAACAAGCTAAACTAAACTACTCATAAACGCATTACCTACTTAAAAGTAAGTCAATCGCCCGTAATGCGTCGAGCTGTTGAGAGGAAACGGATAAACCGAAATACCGATAACGGTGTAATAAAGATTTAATAAAATATCGGATTTGACGTCGTGAAGTATAGATATGCAATTTCGTTAATCATTTGCAGATACATTGAAGGCGCATTCGTTTTTTAGAATAGAAGCAGGAGAAAAAAAAAAATTTTTTTCAAAATTTTTCTATACAGAAATATCGCGTTTACGTATTCGGCACGATTTTACGTGTCGCGCGTTAATCGCGTGTGACGATATATGTAAAGTTTAAAACCGAGAAAATGCATTAACGATCGTCGCGACTATACATGATTGCACTTGATGGTGACACTAAGAGACAGACGAGACGCAGTTATTTGGGCGATCACATTTTCGTAATGTTTATAATCGCGAAACGAATAGCATATATATATATATATATATATATATAGATCGATATAATTAAGGATAATAGAAACTGGCACGTGGAACGCGAGTACGACTGGGACTATAACGATTGATCGTGAGCTCGCGTTGTTTTTTAAAGCCGCGTCTTTTTTTAACGTTAATTCCGATTAATGATAAATGACTAGTGTTTATGGATTTAATTGATCGATAATACTGCCTCGCAAGGCCTTGATTGATATCGATCACGGCCGATCGATTCTCATCTGAAAATCGAACGGGTGTGATCGGGGATACGAAAATAATAATAATGAACAGAGACGAAACGCAAATTTACGAAGTATATGCGTTAATCGTCAATGGCCGCCACGTATATATATATATAAAAATATATATATACTATACACACAGAGAGATTACTAGATTACTAGGCAGTATGTACGTTAGATTTTACGTGTATCTATATATATATCTTTTTTTTTCATTTCTCTAATTAACGCCTTCGTTCAACGATCGTCAGGCGAGTCAAATGAGAATCGCGTGAAAAAATTCACGCGTCACACACACACACACACACACGCGCGCGCGCGCGCGCGCGCAGATACACATACGCCCAGCATATATTTACACACGATGGGGGGGTCACGTGACGACCTTTTTTGGAATGACGACGAGATAAGGGTGAAAAAAAATGAGAAAATTAATTAAATTATCAGGACTTTGATTGCCGTTCGAGGTAATTGTCGTCGATTGTATTTTAATTTTTTTTTTTTAACGATTTTAAGATACTTCGATATCAGGATTTTCTTTCCTTTTTTTTTTTGTTTGAGGATCGCGAATCTCCAGTACCTACTTTATTGTATACGAGCTTTGCAACTTGTTTATACTGTACGTTTAATACGTGAGGCTCTATTTTCTTTTTTGTATTTACGTCTTTGCTTACCACTGTGAACCGTATTATTCTTGATATTAGGATTTTCGGTTTTAATAATTTTTTTTTCTTTGTTTTTCGTTTTGAATTCTCATTGTTTTCCCTTTTCCTTTGTCGATGCAATGCTCGGATATGCGAGTACCGGGACATGACGACTATACACGATGACTGTGACGATTTGTAACGGTGACGGTGATTGGTATGACGAATCAGAGTTAATTTGGACAGGATCGATGGTAGTAAGTGATATAAACGTTTATTGATGACGGTCAAACGATGATGATTTTTCTCCTCTTTCGCGTAAACGATCGAACAGATATTTTGTCTACATGTGCCTTCGAAACGTAATATTGAGATATTATTAAAGAAAAAAAAATACGTATTGGGATACTAAGATTTAATCGTTAAGTGATTCTAAGCTTAAAGGAAAAAAAAAATGAGGTACTAATAACATTGGAAAAAAAATGAAGTACCACGTGGAGAGTCCAACTCGCCATCGAGAGTAATGTCTTGTAAAAATTACAAAAAAAGAAAAAAGCGAAAATGAGTTAAAAAAAAAGTGTAAAGACGCATTAAAAAAAAAAAATCGCAACGACGAACGGCCAATTAACTCGTTATCCCGCGGAACCGCGTGGCGCCCGGGCGCTTATTTATCTTCTTCTATAAATAAATAAAGAGTAACGGGAACGGGTAAGAAGAGGGGTACCGCGGCGCGAAAATACGAGGGAAAAAATACTAAAAATGGAAAATGGTGGAAAAGTGAATTTAAAAAATATAACGTAACGCATTGTATATTTAATGATTGGTCTATTACCGCATTATAGTTTAACTTAACTCTTTTTACGTAATCGGGCTTATTATGATGAATTAGATTATTATATACATATACGGCATACATATATACGTATATATTCATTATTATATATATATATATTTATATATGTATATTTAAAGAAAAAATGAAACCACGCGAAGTCACTTCGTCGATAACAAATTCTTGTTTTTGGGTGTCGGATTGGGATTAAGGGAGACGCTAACCGAAAACAAAAAGCAAAATGATTATATCAAAATATTGTAAGGCGGTGTTGTGTTCGGGCTGAAAAATGAGCGAACCATGTTTAAAAAAAAATTGATAAAAAGAAAAAGAAAAAACAAAAGGGAGAGCACACGTTTTTTAGCCAATGCGAGGAATATACGTATTAACGTAGAGAGAAATGTGCAGGGCGAGACTTTTTTTGTTTATGTTAACTTTTAATTTTTTTTATTTCTCTGCCTCTATCTATACTTCTTCTTCTTCTTTCTATTGCCTTATCTTCTTCTTCTTCTTTGCAAGTATACGCAAACCGTACTGTCGGGTACCAATATCCGTAGTTGGAGAAAAAAAATTATATATTTTCCGCGGTCGCGGACACGATTATTGCAATGACGGTTTTTTTAAAAAATCTTTTCTTCGATTACGAAATTATTTTTATTATTAATAATATTTTCTTTTCTTTTCTTGTTTGTCGTTCGGTCGTGTTCATTTACAACACACGGAGACGCGCGCATCGTGATATTTAGATGGTAAAATTTGTTCGGCATATTTTGGAAACCTGTAGAGAGAGAGGGAGAGAGAGAGAGAGAGAGAGAGAGAGAGTGGTGATTATCGAATGGAATTATTAAGATAAAGAAAAAAAAGAAAATTAAGTAAATGATTAAATTTAAAATTGTGAACGTTACACACTACATGCCATCCAGGTATTTAGAAACTACAGTGCTTTATTTTTTGTATGATATATTATATCTCTATTAATATTATAAAGAAAAAAATTTAATTATAGCTTTCCAAGTTTAGGTCGACACGGGGCGCGAATCGCACGTGAGATATCAAATGGTTTTTCGGTGTGAATGATATACGATTGATATTTTCGTTTTTTTATTATTTTCGCGAAAAACTTGAGAAATTTATGAAAATTTAAGAATCCAATGGACGAGTTATTATTTGTACGTATGTGTGATTTATTTCGATAATATTTTGACGACGAGAAAAATTAACTTAAACGTTACTAATCTTTTGGCCGTACTCCTACGCGGGTTTATCCGTTGTTAATATTTCCAAGTGAATGTGGTATGTCTGTAAGATATAAAAATTATGCTAAATGCGTGTATATGAGATTAGTGGGGAAAAAATGGTAGAAGGAGATTGAGCGAGAAGTATAGGGAAAAAATTGCGATTATTAAGAGACAAGCTGACGAGCCTAATAAAAGAAATCTGCGCTGAAAGAAATTAAAAGTTACGAGATGAGAGAAGAGAGAAAAAAGCTTTGAGAAATTGAAACTCTAACGAGATAAGATATTATATTCTATATATTATATTTGAGATGAAAGTGAAAAGGAAATTTTTGTGATGACGGCATAGGGAGCATAGACATTATTTTTTAATTTCCGATAACGTCGTCTCCAAATTTTATGATATTACAAAAAAAAAAAAAACGCGAAAATTGTAACTGTCCTTTGTAACGAACCGCACGCGAGAAACGTGGCTAGGCCCGGAAATCGAAGTTATTTCAAAATTAAAAAAAAAATTAAGACCCAGAAACTCAGACGAGCAAAGTCAAAAACTTGCATACAGACTTTTCGAAATAGCATAAAATTGTTATGGAATAAAAAAAAATATATATTACGCGGAAAAAAAAAGCTATGCTAAAGAAAGTTCTTTTGTCCAACATAACTTTTCAAAATAGTACGTCACTCTGTTTACGTGCTAAGGTACCGTACTAAAAATTCAAAGATTATTTGAATATATCAAAAAAATAAAATTTAATTCTTCGTCGTAACGTGCACTCGTGTAAATTGAATCCTGAAAGGAATTTAGAAAAAAAATATGACCGTTACCCAATAACGTCTCATTAGACGTACCTGTGTTTCAGTGTTCATAAAACTCGGACCTATTTCGAAACTCTAGATAAAACGCCCGGCCACGCGTCTCTCGTCAGCAGAACGAGAGAGAAAGAGAGAGAGAGAGAGAGAGAGAGAGAGAGCGAAAGCGAGTTAAAGAATGCGTGAGTGTGATAGTGTTCAAGAATAAGAGAGAATTAAGTGCGAGAGCGAAAGAAAGCTTGAGAAAACCGAGCTATTATTAATAAGAGAAAAAAATATAGGTTAGTTCGCGCGGACAGCGAAAGCGAGTTAAAGAATGCGATAAAACGCCCGGCCACGCGTCTCTCGTCAGCAGAACGAGAGAGAAAGAGAGAGAGAGAGAGAGAGAGAGAGAGAGCGAAAGCGAGTTAAAGAATGCGTGAGTGTGATAGTGTTCAAGAATAAGAGAGAATTAAGTGCGAGAGCGAAAGAAAGCTTGAGAAAACCGAGCTATTATTAATAAGAGAAAAAAATATAGGTTAGTTCGCGCGGACGATCGTAAGTTCCCGTTACGTTTTACGTAAGTTGGAAATATTTCCGATCGTCCTAGGCAGTTAGCATTACGTAACGTATCCGAGATAAAAAAAAACAACAACAGTAGGTTTTGAACCAAGAGAGCCTTGTGTTAAGTGCCTTCAAGTACGACTTAGATTTAGGCTAGAACAGAGGCGCTGGGCGCGTCCAGCTGTGAAACAGATTTACTGTATTAAATAACCAGACCCAGCCGCCATTTTGGGTAGGAATGCCCCTTACCGTCATACCCCATTTCAAACGTAATTCATCCCTTAAAAGAAATGAAATCCACAAGGAGACAAAATTCGAGACGAGAAAACGTGACGTCTACCGTAGGAACTGTCAATTCCTACCGTAGAAGCGGGAATTTTAAATATTCGCCGGACGAGAAATTTTGTAAGCAAAAAAAATCCCAAGATACGTTTTTTCGATTTCATCGAATTTTTCGAAAATATATTTTATCTCCGATATAAATCCACCCCTTGGATTTCACGACGATTCAAGGTGGTTTTCCAAGTGTGAATTTTCTTCCCCTTACCTCTACTCCACCCTTCTTCGTCCTTCCCCGTTTTTTATATATATATATACATACATATATATTTAATACCGGTAGATCCGGTTGACTTTGTTTAGGCATCGCGAAACTGGTTTTCGCGTAATTTCTCTTGAGAAACTTTTTGGCTTTACGTTGCGATTTTATTAAAGACGTTGCTCGGGTGTGCAGCTAAGACCACGAGTGGAACGAAAAAGATGAAAAAAATAAAAATAAAGAAAATGAAATTCCATTAGAAAAGTCCAAGCGGAGATACCAACGACACTGGGTATATATATATTCAACGTACACAATTCTTTAGTTTTACGTTCTCGTATCCCTTGCTTGTGGCTCTGCCCAAAGTGGCCCGGGTCAATTTCTCGAAACCAGTGATATTTTAGAAATTATTTATTTACGCAGAACAGAAACAATAATCTCAAGCTACTCACACTCACCTCTACTGCCAATATCTGCTTAGGTACTCTTTTTTTATTCCTTTTACCTTCGTATTGCATCCCAGTTTCTTCCACTTTCTATTTTTTTAAGCCACAATGTGATTCCTCCCTCTCGATCCAGTTATTTATTTTACCAAAACTTTCCTCTTCAAAGACTCTCACCCAGTCCTCGTCCTTTTGTTTTTTTGTTTTTCTTTTCCTCGATTTTTCACCCTATCCAGAAAAAAAACCACCAGTACAATTGTTCTTAATAATAGTGCACATAACCTCTACACGTCGTATCGAGCTCGCGAATGGCCGATAACGACGTTTAGAAAAAAAAAAATGCGATGTGCGAGAAATCAAAAAAAAAAACTTCACTCATAAAAAAAAAGAAAGAAAATCAACGTTCAAATTTATATGTAAATTTGAAAAATATTTTTTTTTTTTAAATCATTTAACATACACCGCAATGTTTCTTTCAGACTTTCAGACTTAACGCAATCAATATCTCGCACTCGACTTTATGCACGGTAACTTTTAGTACAAGATCATAATTAATTGTCGACTGTACAGCACCGCAAGATGAACCCATTACAGTAACAATTACAACTTCCGCTCAGCGCCTCGAACACAAAAAATACTTGTAATCATAATTCTTTTCGCCATGTATTTGCCAACGAACGATTATTTTTTTTTTTTCATTTTATATTAATATTATTTAGAGAACAACATTATTAACGACTACGCTATTAATAACGATAATCTTTCTAGATACTTTTTTGCTTTTTTGCGAGACATCGGTAGACACGTATTTGTGTCACGTCATACATATATATATATATATACATACGTATTTCCGAAACTGTTCACCCATACATACACAAATCCAAAAGACAACAAGCATATTTTACATACGTCATACGACACGTGGATATTCATACGTATATTTGTACATACGTAACAAATGCATACGAGCATACATGATACTTATTACACTTTATACGACGTACAGAATATGCATAATGTACAGCCTGTGTACATTATGTATATGGAATTGAACTTTGACCCCTGCGCTCATTACACTGGCGAATACACCTACTTTATTATATATTATCGACTATTGGCTTTATTGTATCCGAGAAAAGAACGCTTGCTTAGTGAAATACAATGGCAGAGGGGATGAGACCACGGCTTTATTTTTGGCGTATTGTGCTCGCGAAATTAATGCATTTCATTGGCTCTTTTGCGAGACTGTGAAATTCATTATTTTAATCCAATGGGAATTCACGTTAAACGAGCAGAATCGCAATCCTTCCGGCGTCCATCCCTCGTTTCCACTGTGTTACGTATCGAGTTTTTTTTAGAACATTCCAAAATGTTTAACAATTTTTTTCTTTTTGTTGTCGTCAACTTGTAGAAAGCCTTGTATTCGATTTAGAGCAAAATAAAGTCTAGAAAGGCATACGATCGCCTGTTTTGGTTTCTTTTTTTCTTTTTTCTTTCTTTTTTAGCCACCTCGTACGCGATTTTCAAATTTCAAGATATTCGGGCCGAATCGAAAGAAGACTTGTGTTTATCGAATGGATATTTTTAGTTTTATTTTGTTTATGGGTTTTTTTTTATTTTATACTAATGATATTTTTTCGTAGGTGTTCCGGTTCGACTGGGTGCTACCAACTTGAAGACTGTCTGGATTACAGTTTTTAGAAGATACTGTGAGAAAAAGGGATTTTGATTGTTTCTGCAAAAGTTTTCGATCTTGACTCAGTCGTGATATTATGGAAATAAAATAAAATTACTTGCGAAAATTGATGATTGATTTTTGTGATAAATTATTTCCTTCCAGGTTCCCTCGTTTCTCGATTTCAAAAACCGATCTAACATCTACTGATTTTGAGTTTCAGGTATCTCCAAGCGAGCACGAAGATTTTGACTACGAAAAAAAAAAAGAGATTTTTATACGTCACTCATGGACGATACCCAACAAAAATTGTGCCCACCTTAACTTTTGATTTTGATTTTTTTTTAAGCCGACGTACACGTATGAAGTTGCGTGAACAAGAAATAATCTTTATCTCATCCTGAATGTTGTGAGTGTGTCTCCTTCAATCATTATCAAACGAAGTCTCCGAAAAAGTTGCTAAACGGAGAAAAAATCATAAAACAAAGAAGAACTCTATTCTTTAATTCTTTGAAAGTTCGAAAAAAGAAAAAGGAAAAGAAGCAAAAAATCGCTAAATAAAAATACCATCAAAGATTCAAGAGTAGAGTTTAAGTATGTCAATCATAGAATCAATCATCCCCACGCAGCCATAATAAATTCCAAAAATTTCCAATGTCTCGAACCCCATCTAGATCCAAAAAAGAACGAAAAATTCCCTTTGCTCGTTGTTGCTAGCTTTTGAAAATTTCTTGAATGTAGCATGGCCCGCGCAGGCACGCATAAAAGTCAATAAGAGCCAGCGAACTAACATAGATGAAATTTTTCTTGGACCTTTTTTCAGGACTTTTCGGGAGCTTCGGCTGGAACGTCGATAGTTCGAGACGCGGCCGTTCCTCCGATGTGCCGGCGCCACTGACGCCCCAGCGTCGCGCACGTCTTCATTGTCCTACGTCGCGTCACGCCGCAAGAAACAACAATCGTCCCGTCTTGGCTCACGATCGACGTCACAACTGTTCCCGCTGTGGTAAATCCTACAAAAATGCTTACATCCTCAAGAGACACTTACTCTATGAGTGCGGAAAGGCACCGTCCTTCAGTTGTCCGCACTGCGCGTTCAGCTCGAAATACGAGAGGAACCTTAAGGCGCACATTAATCATCGTCATATGGACGTGCAGCAGCCACAATCGACTACCGCCACGTCGGCGGCTGCCCTTAACCAAAGATCTTGAGAAAATCGGTGCCAAAAAATCGACTCGTACGAATTTCATTACGAGAAAGTCGTTACGATCCTTAACAAGGATTTTCGTACCAACGTGGCAGGCCCAAAAGTGCCAAAGATTTTGTTACTGTAGGTGTTACCTTTTATTTTGAGGCTATACATAGCTATATCCTATTGTTAGTATCTCATAACCTTTTTTTCCCCCCACGTCATTCTTTCGCGGGTGCTTTAATTAAGGGTAGAGATTTAAGGATGGACCTGTCGACATCCAAAATTATGTTATCGAGGCTGGATCCTCTATTTTGGGGACTTTCTTTTTTATGTCTTTAACCTCGCTTCGTACGTCAGAGACTCTACTACGAATTTGCGTCAGCCATATCGTAATGAAGAGAATTATTTTTTTTTCTTGATTTTTTTTTTAATTTTGACAAAGAGGGGGTACATTTTTGTAAGCAGCAGAAAAGAGAACTCAAGCGTATCCATGACAATATTTTATAATAATTATCAAGTCTCGTCGTTAGGACGATACTTGATCTTGTCTTATTTTTGTTTTCTCTTCTTTATACGTTTTTTTTTTGTTTTCCCTCGGAATTGCATGCGTAACGAGAACTATCCAAGCTATTATCGACGAGGTGTAATATTAAATCGTATTTAAAAGCGTTCTATTGAAATTGTATCTATTAAGAATTAGTGATCCGCCATTTTGGATGGCGCGAAGCTAGCAACTTGTTGAATCCCTTTTTTTCGAAAAACCACGAGAATTAGTTAGAACGTTGTTGAATATTTAAAGCACCTGAAGAGTCCCGAGAGATGGGTACTGGCTCACAGTTGATCGATCGGTCGATCTTGTACATTTTAATCGAGCTTGGAAAAAAATCAAAATTCCTTTTTTTTTGCTTGTACTATCGCAAGGTTCGAACTCTAACGTAATCAGAAGCAAAGAATTTCAAATTATTTTTTATTCTAATTGATACATCGTGACACCAGATATACAATAATACTCTCGGGATCCCTCAGGATCCGTGGAGATTATCAAATCGCCCAGTTATTTTTATACAGGTTGTATGAAAAATAAGCATAAACGAAACTCTCCCGTGGGAATGATTTTTTTTTTTTGAGATTTACAGAATTCTCAACTTCGTCGACCGCGGGAGTGATCGTAATGTGGTTCGAGACAAGTTTTTCTGGTGTTCAGCTATGAGGAGTTAAAAAAATGAAAGGCAGAAATAAGTAGGGGAGATCTAAAAAAAAATAATCAAAATTCCGGAAGCAACGAATCCTTAATCTTAGAATCTCACTTGAGCTCTCTAAGCAGCCTAGCAGTTAAGAGAATCTTTAAGAACTAGTCAAAATGAAAAAACACTCGATCCAAAGTGTGGAACAGTGAAAGCGTACAATTTGCGTATCTATCGTAAATAGATAAAGTAAAAAAAAAAAGAATGAGAAAGAAAAAGACGAAAAATCCCTTTAAAAGAATCTTTTGATCGATGCGAACGGTTTGATCTTAAGGAATCGCTGAAAACTTGTTTTTTTTTTAGTTCGGAAGGTCTAGTCTAGAATTGGCCTAATTGGGGTCAAAAGTCTAATATAGAAACTGAATAGAGAATATATTTAAAGAATATATTATATATATATATATATATATATATCACGTATCATATTGATCCTTTACAATGATGATATAAAAACTATTATAATCGTCACAAAATAATTGACACAAAAGGCGTGTATAATCTTGGTCAGGAAAAACGCGCGAAAGATTTTGCAAAATTTTGTGCAACTTTCTCAAAGATCGATATCGATATCACGTATCATATTGATCCTTTACAATGAAAACTTGTTTTTTTTTTAGTTCGGAAGGTCTAGTCTAGAATTGGCCTAATTGGGGTCAAAAGTCTAATATAGAAACTGAATAGAGAATATATTTAAAGAATATATTATATATATATATATATATATATATCACGTATCATATTGATCCTTTACAATGATGATATAAAAACTATTATAATCGTCACAAAATAATTGACACAAAAGGCGTGTATAATCTTGGTCAGGAAAAACGCGCGAAAGATTTTGCAAAATTTTGTGCAACTTTCTCAAAGATCGATATCGATTATATAATAATCCTTGTACAATTCTTTGTCACCGAGTAAAATTTTACACAAATAAAAGTTCAGTCATGGACCAAAGAGAATCAAAAAAAGTGATCCAAAAACAGTAAAGTTACCGAAAGATAATGAAATTCTAGTCAGAGATGATTCGCGCGTTATTTCCTCTATCCTTTATTGTCTCGGCCAAGAATAATAAAAAAAGATGACAGATAAGATAAAATGCAGAATTACAGATTAGCACTTATAGATAATATTATTGACGTATCTATTATCCTCTAGTATCTAGAAGAATTTAATATCATCCTTCCGATCCTTTTTCGCGATCCTATTATTTTTATCCTTGAATTATCGATTCTAGAAATTAATCAACAACTTACTAAACTAATCCTTCGTCTAAGAACTTACACTTACGATTAGATACAAATGCTATCTTAGATCCTATAAGCTCCATCGATTTCTCTTTGCCGTAACATCGTGCAAGACTTTTCGTACCACGTAATTCCTCTTTATCTTTCGACGAGTAAATGATGGACGAAGAACGACGAATGAAAAAGAAAAAAAATGTCTCAGCAAGCCTAACGCGAGCATATAAGATGAAAAAGGAGAAGAAATATTTTTCAAAAACAATCAAAAAAAAAAAAGCTTGAACTTACAAAAATACGAAAGTGCTAACTCTCTCCTATTCTGTAATATTTCACTTGATTTTCTTCAAATTCTATACTCGCACTCTGTCGATTACCGATACCAAATTTTCAATTGAATTTTCGCAAATAATTTCGAAAAGCCTTTCTAACTAATTTTTTTTTACTATCCGCCTTTCCATATTCTATATTCTTCTCGATATTCTTCGTGCCAAAGAAACCCGAATTACTTGTAAGAGCGCACTTGGATCGCGATCGAATCATTAATATCGATCAATGTCGTCGACGATCGTGGATCGATACAAATGATTTTGTATCGTGTTCGCGTTAAACCGTGAGAGAAAGTGTCTTCCAACTGTTCCAAAAAAAGTTTTAAAGGGAGAGTTAAAAAAAATGATAAAACGTAATCGACGGGGGATGATTAAAGTAAATTGAAAATGGATTATGCGAAACAAATGGGACGTATTGCGCAATATTTAATTGCACACGTAATTACTCGCACGCGGACATGTCAAAGTACGCAGCACAAAGACTGATACTTACGTGAAGAAATTGATGACATTTACGAAACATAGACAACGTGATACATACGAGGAACGTAATATTATACTTGTAGAAGTACGAAAGGAATATTCATATATACATGTAAATATATATTTAAAAGAAATAACACTATTTGCGTTCGCACTTTATCTGCCATATAATTGTACCGCAGCGACTCTGTAAGAGATAATTTTGGATTTTTTGCGATATTTGAAAAAAAAGTTGTTTCAAAAGTTGCAAGAAATTTTTTTTTTATTCGTAACAATTAATGAAATACCTGTTAGAATTAGTTTGAAATTATTGTACCCAGCCACACAGGTTTAGGTATACGTGATCCGTATTCATATATCTGTTCCTTTACAAAACCCAGCAAACACATAAGAGCGGGCCAGTGATGGGCCCCCTTAGGGTCCTTTCACACCAAATTTCCATGAGCATAAAGTTAGGTCCAGACCAATTGACATACGTCTATGTTTTATGGTGTTATAGACGGTATGCTGATTTGTCTGAACCTTGCTTTATACTGACGAAAGTTTTGTGTGCAAGACCCTTTATTGTCCCACTGTACCTATCAATGAACCAGCAAGGACCTATAATTAGTACTGGGTCGCTGTTGTGTGTTATATGGGAACACGTAAGATTGGACACACGTGCCCCGATGTATATGCGATGATGAGAGACGAGATGAATGGTTAAAACGATTTTAAAAAAATGAAAAAAAGAAAATATTTAGCCTTTAAGGAGAATCAGATAATAATTAGTACGTAAGTCCTGCGATTAATTGAAAAATCGTACTGGGAGTTTGGTTATGTGTTTGTTGTATGAAAGTGCATGGGAGAATAGTGGGTGGTAAAAGAAAGTACCGGGGAAAGGGTTTAAAGAGCATGGGTGGGGGAAAGCATGTATACAGTTGACGAATATAGAGATAAACATGTTACAAAAAAAAAAAAAAAAAACATAATACTGTTCATTGACATAACGTAAAATATACCTAATAATATTATGGGACAAAAAACGTCATGCGTTATACATACAATATATTCTTTATGGTTGACGGTTTTTTTTTTTGCGAATTAACTATGATTACTATTGTGAGTGTATATCACCGATAATTGTTGTGTTTAGCGAAAGAGGCTCGAGAAATAAAGAAATTAATTTAATTATTCAAAAGAAATTTTTTTATTGTTTGATTTATATAATTTTTTTTTTTTCAAGGACATTCCATAATTCCGAAAATATCGTTATTTTCCGAATTATGATTTATCTTTTTAATATATTTTTTTTCTACCAACAAATTTCTTCTCAGCAACCTTCTTTATCCTCGTACTGACAATTCTTCGTCTTCTTCTTTCAGGACGTCTCGTGTGCCGTTGTGGACGCCGCTTCAAGCATCACTTCTCATTGATCTGTCATCGACGTGACGACTGCGGCGAAAAATATTGTTGCCAGCAATGTTCCTATCGAACTGACAAATTGTGCCTCTGGTTGCGTCACGTCAAGTCTAATTGTTTGTTGACGCAGAAACACCGTTAGTGAGTAAGAAGGCAGACATGTTTGTGAGAGGCCTAGAAAGAGGAAAGGAAAGAGGGAGGGAGAAGGAGACCAGTGAACATGTCTTGCTAAATTTAGCCTATTGTAACAATCATTGAAAAGCATGATTCAATAAAAATCATAAATATTTTTATCATACAAGCTTCATGTATCTGAACTTAATTCTAACATCTACGACTGTTTTTATATATTACACTTGGCAGACCTGTACCTTTCTTTTGCTACTGGCACAATCCCAATTCAAATCCTGAAGTCGATGATTATTTTTATGTAGACTGACTTTGCTCAGGTCACTTTTGATGGTTCTGCTTATATTATTATTTCAATACTGTGCTTGGACATTTCCTAATTCGATGTCTGTCCACGATCTCCAATTTTTCTCTGTAATCCCAAAGTCTTTGTTTCTGCAACTTTCTTTCTTTTCCTTCTCGAATCTTCTCTTTGGCTGGCACTGTGGCTGTTTTAAAAATTCATACTTTCCGTTTTCACGGTGGTGGGTTCTCACGCGCATGCATTTGCCTTTTGTAGGTTACCTAACGCCGACTGACAAACCCTTCGTCTGTAATCGTTGCGGCAGAAGGTACAAGTGGAAAACGTCGTTGCAGTGTCATCGAAGGGACGAGTGCGGCAAAGAACCACAGTATAAGTGCTACTATTGTGCTTATAAGACTAAAATAAGATCGAATTGGATAAGACATGAAAAAACTCATACGAATCCACGTGGGAGAAGACAAAATCTACATTCGATTGGTGAAATTGTTATTTAACGGCTAGAAAATAGACTTTTCATTGGTACAGTTATTACGAAGGGCAATCGGTAATTTTTAAAGATTGCATATATAATTAACATTGGTGAACGTTGAAATAACATTTGAGTGCATTTAAAATGCATTTTATTATATGTTATTGGAGATAGCCAATGTAAGGGAAAAGTCTGATCATGTATTTGGTAATCGCGGATAGTTAATTTTATTGTTTGTCAGCGATAAGAATAAAATTTGACAATTTCTTAACTTTGTCATGATCACTCATATGAGAACTATGCATTTTTTCTCGTTTGTGACGTAAATATTTTGTTTGTGTTGACAAAGTAATATTTTGGAAAATACGAGCTCGTGCGATACGTATATAGCCAAAGAATGAAGGAAACGAAAAATTGATGTGGATAAATAAATTATCAGAAAAACGAGATTGATGCAATAATAATACGTAACACGGTATCAAAAAGCTCGGACGTACGAATTGTTTACTGAATTAAAATATTTGAAAATATATTATTTTTCGTTGGCTAGTCTTGGGAAAAATAAATTTTATTAATTTTCTTATTGTCATTAATGTTTTTTTCATATTTGTTACATATATGTGAAATAATAAAACAATTAATCCTTCACGACCATATTTGTTTCAGTGTATTCGCAAATTGGACCCATCATCAATTTAATACACTTTTCAAATATATTCTTTAACTTATATTTCAAAATCTTAACTTTTGAAAACGCTCCATAAAGACTTTCGAGATTGACTATGTTTTAAAAAAAAAAATCTTACGAAAGATGCTCTTTATACAATTCACATAACAGGTATTTTTGCTTTATATTTTAGACCTGGACTTCGAGTACATTAAAATTTGTCCAAAAGAGGAAATGGATGAAGTACCCGCACCTGTATCTACAAAACGAAAACGGAGGGGACACGTCTGTGTTTGCGGCAGAAGTTACGCCTACGAACGTTCTTTGAATAGCCACAAACGTTACGAGTGTGGAAAACCCCGAAATTTACCCTGTCCGATATGTGGCAAATTATTCAAACTTAAGCACCACGTGAGGGGTCACATACAAAAGTGTCATTCCATTTAAACTTGAAGAAAAAAAAGGAACCACTTACAAAGTGAAGCTCTGTAAATTGTTTGCAAAAGTAATGTAATAAAAAAATTAAATTTTTTAATTTAAGCCATGATTAAATAATACGTCCTGCGCATCCGCTCGACTTTCGTGTATGTTTGTGTACTCGATTAAAGATGATTACGTTTCTTTTTTATTAACCGAATTAACTAATTAATTTTGTAATTATTTTTTCTCCTTTCAGATTTTACCCATCAACGTACCACTCAGCAAATTACTGACTGTCATCCAATGGAAGGAATTGATGTTAATGACAAACAATTTTCCTGTGTGAAATGTGGAGAGTTCTACAAATGGAAGAAATCGCTGTTGCAGCACAAACGAATCGAATGTGGAAAATCACCTCGGTTCGCCTGTAAATTTTGTGGTAATCGATTCATGTACAAACATAGTCTCGTTAATCATCTCACGAGGATTCATCGATTGGTGCCATTGAACGAAATGGATATATTGATTTTTGAATGAGAAAAGAAAAAACATCCACCTGTATTTTTTAATGTAACTTATTAAAGTAGATTTAGTTGATACTTGCAACGAGGATGGTTGTACGTGGTGGAAGAAAAGCATATTTATTTTTTTTCAAAATATTTAACATTTTTCTAATGTCCTTTCCTACACATAAAACTGCCTGAATTATTGATATTGTCCTTTTCGATTTTCCCTAAATTCCTCAGTGACGCTTTTCACCCTGGAATTGAGAAAAATATCCTGCAAGTCTCTGTGACAGTGATTTTTGAATAATTTCTTTTTTTCACAGGACCCAAGGAATTTTTTTCTTGGAGCTTAGGATACATACTAACGTAAAATTTGTCTTTTTTGATTTCAGAATCCAGAAATTTTCTCTGCAACGCTTGTGGGAAAAGGTACAAGTATCGCGAAGGACTGGCGAGACACAAGAGGGTAGAATGTGGCGGAAAGGAACCTCAATACGGCTGTCCAATTTGTGGAAAGAAATTCAAACACAGATATCAGCTGCGTCCACATTTGGCAAAAGTTCATACAATCCAGGCACTGCCTAGTGAATTGCACAATAATTATCTGGATTGATTTCGTCCTGCCTGTTATTGATTGTTGTCTGATTAAATGCTTGATTGTTCCTGAAAATAAAGACAAATAATTTTTCTTCAACTACAGAATCTACTTAAGAGCAGGTAAGGTCTTTGTAGTATCCAATGTCAACTCTACAGTATCCAATATCAACAATGGTCATATCACTCAGTATTATTGATAAAAAAAAATCCAATCTGATTTTACACATTGTCCATTGATCCTGGAATACAATACAATGTCAAAAAAGTTCCCAATTTATTACACGTTATTAAACCTCAGATACACATTTCACTCTGCGTTCCAGAAAGCTATATGAGTTCTTTGAGCATGTCTATGGAACCGATTGTTATATTGACATTCTATGGCTTTAGTAAAATTTCCAAATTTTTTGTTTTTCCACCAATTATTTTCTGTGTTCAGTCTGTACGTCGCCGTCGATGAGATTTCGAAGTCTCAAGATGAAAATTAATTCTTGGCGATTTTTTGATTTTTTGATTTCAGGAACCAGACAGCAGCAACTCACCAGCAGGTATCATCGGTGCAAAACAAAATTCTCGAGAAAACCATTTCCCTGTCACACGTGCGGACGATCTTATACGCGGAAGGATACACTGAGACGACATCTACGAGACGAATGCGGAAAGAATCCTCAATACATATGCTACGTGTGCAACAAAGGATTCAAGCAGAAGTCTAATTTTCAACGGCACAGCGCCAACGTTCACGGAATGAAAGTTTGAAAATTCTGTAGACGAACTGTTTATTGTTATGTATATTATCTTTTAAACTCTAGAGTGCCGTCCTTGTCGAAAGTACCAGATGCTAAAGTGAAAGAGAGAGAACCTTAGCCAAAGTCTCCTGAAGCAGGAAAATAAATATTAAAAGAAAAAAGAAATACGTACCCATGACTATTGTTACCAGTAATGATAATTTTGAATATTTTTTTTCCCTTTTTTTTATCTGCTCAATTTACACCTGCACTTCATGTATATATTTCGAGTTAATTTCATTGACAAGAAATGACGAATGCCTTGCATAAATTTTTAACACTGGAATGTTTTTTTTTTTAGTTTCAGGTATCCCTGGGATTTTTGCTGATCGAGCTTGTACGAAACCTGTGACGAAACGTTATCCTTGTTATAAGTGCAACAGAATCTACAGGCATAAAAAGCATCTTGTGAGTCACGTGAAACACGAGTGTGGAGTATCCCCGCAGAACATATGCACCATATGCAACAAAGGCTTTAAACGAAGAGCATGTCTCAAACGTCACAATGTAAATGTACATAGAAATGTAATAGGCCTTGGTTGATAATTTCCAAAAAAAAAAGTAACAAATGACATATGGCACCACAGTGGACACTATTATGTTAATTTTTGACATACACAAATAATTTATTGAAATAAATAAACTGACAGTTAACGCTATATAATAATTTAAAGAATTTATATCTAATAACCTCAAAGAAAAAGATTAATCATAATTTTCGTGACTTGGATCAATCAGTGTACTAAAGTGTAAATGAAACTTATTCAGGGAATCTTAGATTTACTTGATCAGTCAGAAGGTAAGCATCCCCATCGACAGGGTGTTTTTGGTTTTTGGCAGAGTGTATTTTGTTTTATGGTAATTCAAAGTGGGTTCTTTATTTTCTTTATTGGTCAGAATTTGACTCTCTTTTTTTTCTAATCCAACACGCATGATTGTTATCGCACATTTTCAGGTTCTTTTAAATGATTGGGTGTCAATGAACTTTAAATGATTATTTTTCTGTTTTTCTGTTTTCAGGCGAATCGTGCGTTTCGACGAGAAGCGCACGTGCGTTTCCAAAACCGTATCCTTGCTACCAGTGCAACAGGTCTTATACCAACAAGAGTACACTGAACCGTCATCTACGAGAAGAATGCGGTAAAGCACCACAGTACCTATGCTGTTTCTGTCAAAAAGGCTTCAAGCAACGTTCCAATTTTCAACGGCACATCTGGACCGTCCATAGATGCACCCTGTGATCATCGATTAGGAAGAAGCAAAAATATTTTTAAAGCACGAACGAGAAGATACCTTTGAACTTTTATCAGTAGCCTTGTGGAATAGCCTTTTTTTTTTTAATTAACACGATAGCCAATTTCATACAGTGGTATTCATTTTTTGTACGATTCAATAAAAATGAAATACCGGGTGACACACAAGTGTGAACATCTCCATAATCACTTCTTACTAACAGGCTACATACTTTACATAGAATTCTAAGGGATACGTTTATGGTGTTTTTTTGGATTTTCCAAATACGTAGTTTGACCAAAAAAGTGTCCGAATAAAACGAACATTCATAATTACGTTCTAACGATCTCTTCGATTTTCAGGAACCCTGCCTACGAGGGAGGAACAAGAAAAGTGTGAAAATGACATTTTCGGAATTGGACTTTTCTGCAATGATTTTGAAAATTTCTACACCTGGGACACCACGAATCAGACGCGCATACAGGAGGCACATGTTGAACAACAGTCTCCAAAACGTAATGATTACAGAACTAAAATTGTCTCTTTTTAATATTAATACAATTTCTTCTTGTCCCGTATAAGCTTACAATCCTAAATACCGTTGCACTGGAAAGATGGACAATTTTTCAAGTAAAAAAAATATAATCTAATCGACAATCCAATATTCAGAATAATTTTTCCTATGTGTCATGCGTCATTTGACGTAACCTCTAATATTCAACTTTGCATTTCATTTTTGTTTCAGACGTCAAGAGGGATCGCAATAGAGTGAACTACGAGGCGCCTTTCAGCTGCTACAAATGCGGGAAAAAGTACACGTGGACGGACTCGTTGACGCGTCACTTGCGGGAAGGCTGCGGAATTCTGCCAAAGCATCGATGCCGATTATGCGGGCGAAAATTTAAGCGAAAGGATTATCTTCAACGTCATGAAGTCACCGTCCACAAATTTGAACTTTCAATGATGTAATCTCTCAACGTTCCCCCTATCCCCCACACCCTTTATCCATTATCGATCGACCCCCTTATTGTACTTGTACAAAACTATTTTGCTGGATATATTTCGCAGTTTACACAAATTAATGAGGAAACGAAACGTAGGTTCAAAAATTTTTTGAAAAACGAAAAATATTTAAAAATCTGTCCGCCGTTTCGAGCGATGACACTGCCGACACCTCGTGATGTAATTACGAGGAATTCTAATTACTTAACAGATTCGTAGGGACGTCTCTGAAAATGGATTAGAACAAAAAAAAACGGTTTCTTTTTTTTTATAAATATTTAACGTCAGACAGATTGTTTTATCAAAGACTATTTATTTTTACGATTTTTTTTTCTTTGCATTATCCGTACGCCTCTTAACGCGTACTACGTTGTTTATGCAGCTATGTGATATATCAGCTTTTTACTATTGTGTCTCTGTAAGAGAAAAATTACATGAATGCTTTGAGCAATGAAAATAATGGGACTATTATTTGCACAATTTATTGTACAACGGATCGAACGGCTAAATGGATCAGCTACGATTTATTCGATCCTCAATAAAATAATAATTGATCCCTTCTCCAGTCATTTTTCTAATCTATAAAATGATCGTACCCTGTTACAAGTCCTAGAAAAAAATTGTTTCCGATTTTCATGTAAAATCAGAAAACACTATTGCATTGACACAAATCAATGGGTCGAAAGAAACCTGCAAAAAAAAAAATAGTATCAATTTCGAAAACGCATTTCCAGATTTATGTATTTTATACATTTATTTCTTTCTATTACGTTCCAAGGTCTTTTATCAGGATTAACCAAGAGCATGCGTTTCTTTCGTTAAATAAATCATCCTAATAACCATCTGACAATAATTTAATTATTATTAAAGAATCCAATAGATAACAAAGGGCCAACCTTTCGTTATCTTTTTAATATTATTTTATAAGAAAACCTCAGCTCGCAATATATGAGTCATCGCTTCGTCATCGTAATCCCATTATCCTAACACGATTAATTGTCGATGAAAATTATTTAACGCAATAATAATAAAAATTGCGAATACCAGCATTCATATTTTACACAGAATACTCGAACGCTATGATTCTCCTTGTTAACCGTTTTTCGCAATCCTTGTAGTTGTGTCTGGCAAAATGAAAAAAAAAAATTTCTAGTCTTAACATGGTATGTCAAAAAACTGTCGCCTAATAATTTGCAAAATTTGTTACAAGAATTTTTAAAAGATCCCTTATATCTTTTTTCAGTTCATACCGGGTCGGATTACTACAAGAGACTCGGTAGACATTCTTGCTTGACCTGCGGCAAGGAATACAGATGGATGCAATCTTTAATCAGACACGAACGGGACGAGTGCGGAAAAGATCCACAGCACAGTTGTCCAGTATGCGGAGCAAGAATACGTCACAGATGGATGTTGAAGAAGCATTTGGTCAATGTTCATCACTGGGTCGTGCCAAACGACAAGTCTATATAAAATGCAGACGAAATAACAGGAGCCTGCAAACCTAATAGAACTTTTCTACTATCACATTGCCATTAGAATATCACTTCCATGGATCACTGTACAGTAACATAGTTTCCGATAAAGAAATCCAATAAAAGCAAGATTCTCCAAAAGTCGTCACCCCGTGCCAAAACCTGTTAAAAAAATAAAATAAAATAATTTATAACTCGTTATCACTGAACTTGTAAAAATGACGCCTGAATAATTTGATTTGAATGACGTCTAAAATAAATTACATGAAGATCAAGTAGAATAATTTATAATGCGTTGTCATTGAACGTGCTAAAAACGACATTTAAATGATTTCTTTAGAATGACACTTGAAATTAATTATTTTTTGAATCGACTCCGCTTACCCAGTGAAATGCCTAACTTTTATTTTGATACGCTTAAAATTTTGTATATTACAGAAAAATAATTTTATCAATACGACTTCAATGAATTTTTTTTTTTTTTTTAGGTATCCAGAGAAACTTTACCGGGAGAAATCACCCTTGCCGAAAATGTGGAAAAAGTTACAAGTGGATGGAATCCATGGAACGACATATACGTCTCGAATGTGGCGTCGAGCCAAAATTCAAATGTGTCTTTTGCACGCGTAAATTTCGACACAAGCATCATTTCAAGGAGCATCTCAAGAGACGTCATAAGTGCGAAAAGTTCGAAGCACATTGGTTTTAATGTAAGCTCGTTATGAAAAAGAATAAAGATGCGATTACACGTTTCTTATGAAGATACTTCATTCACCACTTTACATCCAATTGCGTTACCCATAATTTCATATTCTTAATACACGTATCTGATAATGTTCTGTGATAACAATTTCTTATTTAACGCATTTCTTTTTCTTTGCTTACAGATAACTACGTTTTCACGGGACGTACGTACTTTCCTTGCAACAATTGCGGCAAGATTTACAAATGGCAGCAGTCCCTGTGTCGGCACAAACGCGTCGAGTGCGGAATGGAGGCGCGACTAATATGCAAATTCTGTGCGAGAAGATTCAAGCACAAACATCATTTAACTAAGCATCACGAAACCGTGCACAGATATTCAATAACGAGCAGCCGTTATGCTCGATTTTAATAACTCCACGTATGCGTTTGGGAAACTTAATTGACCTTGAATAAAATAATTATTAATAAGTATGAAAGAAATAGAAAAATGAGAAAATATGTAAATTTGTTAAATGATCTCAAAAAATATATAACATACCCCTCCCC